TGGCATTACTATAAAAGTACCTAATCTATCAAAAAGCTTACAAAATCCAATTTGTGATCTCTACATATTGCATAAACGATGGTATTTATTGGAGCTTTACTTGGGAATGATGGCTAAAGGTGCTGCAGTCCGGGCCCTGTCATGATTAGTGGCCCCCATGGATAAATTTGGTTTTATTAAATTATTTAAATTAAAATTGTTTAAGTATCGATGCAATATTTTTACCATCTACGACGTAATTGTAAATTTGTATCTAGTCGATAAAACTATCTATTGAGATAAAATTTGGTAATACTTATTCATAATCATCGTTACATACCAATACAAATCTTTGAACGCGTGCGTATATAATGTGTGCCATGTGCAGGAATATACCTAAATACCTAATGGCTAATATAACTTAGATTTTAAGTCAGTTCGGTGCCTTTATACTACGCAACGTACGTGTGCTCTCGTAATTGTATTATTATACACTATTCGTTTATAAATTGACATTTCCACTTTTTATTATCACTGTTTGAAATAAAATACATAAATAGTGCAGATAAACACAAATTAAGGGGATTCGATACCGTGATTTTCTGTTTTTGTCTAACACACGCGTGACATAGTATTTTAGACGTGTTTTTTGCCAAACATTCCAATTGATCTATTGAAGCGATAAGATTTCTGAAAACAGATTTTAATTTGTCGTCAAGTCTACTTGAAATCGACTTTCCCACATTTTTGATTTTTTGATTTAAACTTCTCCAAAAATTGAAATAACAGAATTTTTAAATACTCTTTTTGAATATGACATTTAAAAAAATTTAGGGGATAATATCAAAAATGTGGGAAAGTCGATTTCAAGTAGACTTGACGACAAATTCAAATCTGTTTTCAGAATTCGTATCGCTTCATTAGATCAATTGGTATGTTTGGCAAAAAACACATCTAAAATACTATGTTGCGCGTGTGTTAGACAAAAACAGAAAATCACGGTATCGAATCCCCTTAAAAAAGAGAACGAAATTACTGAAAGTTCTTTGTAGGTACCTACTGTCAATTTTCTTTATCTGTACGACTGTACTTACCTATACTATATATTTACAAAAAAATCTATTTCTACTTCTTATTTTTTATATTATATAATTAAATGGAAAAAAAAACTCTCTACTCCAACACAAGCTTAAGCTTTCAGGATTAGATATATTCTTTATTTATATTTATTGTATGTATGTATTGTATATGTAAATAAAAAAAAGTTCGATATGCAAGTTGCCAAAATGAAGTGATTTCTTTAAACCTATAGAACCTATTAAAGTTGACAAAGTAGTAAGTAATATTTCACCGAAAACCTTGCTGAAACTTTAAAGTCCGGAGCCAAACAATGCAGCAAATCTCATTCAATTCTTGTCTGCAACACACTTTATAACTCAAAATTATAAATTTACACAAAACAAAAACTTACAATCATTATACGTATGATGTAAATTTAACTTAGTATTCTATAAATTATTAATTCAATCAATGTTACTCATTTACGTATTATTAAATATGTAATTTATAAATATTTATACTTGACTTACTTAGTATAAAAATATGTAATGTATTGTCACTTGATAAGTCCAATGGCCACAAATGCTAAGTAAACGATTATAAATAATAATAATAATAAAAGTTAAATACTTATTTAAAGGATTCTAGTTTCTTAAATAATTTAACCTACCTACTTCTGATGTCAAAAATGTGAATTTTACTGTTGGTAATATAGGTAATTTATAAGATATTTTGACAAATGCTGATCTTTCTAATAATCAAGGCTGGGCATTAACGAGTTAATAAGTTAAAGTTAAGTTACTTTTAAGTTTTAACTAAGTTAATTAACGAGTTACTTTTTTTTTTAGAAGTAACTTCTAACTTAATGATTTACATTTTTCCCCATGTTATTCAGTTACTTAAGGAGTTAATTAATTTTATTGGCACGTTAAGTTAATTTTTTCCCAAACCACATATTTAAAATTAATTATATAAAAAAAAACCCGAAATATTAAATATATTTTATTAAATAATAATTTATAATAATAGTAAGTTATTATATTGCGTATTCACAGAAAATATTTTATAACTATATTATAAAGGGAAATGGCATAGGGGTAACCGCGTCATTAATAAAAGAAAAATATAACAATTTACTCAGTACCTATCCCATACACGACATATCACCTAACCTATACCTAATCATTATTAATATCATTACTTATTATTATATTTGTGTTCATTCATAGAATTACAGCGATAACTTGGCCCGTCGATGTAAATAATACCCGTAGTAGCGTGGTACCTATTTACTATTTACCTAATTAAAGTATAATACACAAAATTAATATAAGTACCTTCAGTAACTAATTTTATTACAAACATTTATTCAAATATTGTAAGACATTTTTTGATTTATTGAATTATTATGTTATTTGTTAGCTTTAAAAAAGGTAGGTAGGTATAATTGTTAATTTTATTTTAAAAAAAAAAGTAACTTATTTTTAACTAAGTTAAGTTACTTTTATTTTCTAATTAACTTGTAACTTTTACAAATTAAAAAAAATGAAGTTAACTTTTAACTTAAAACTTAATTTATTTTTTTGTATATTAACTTAACTTAACGAGTTAAAAAAATAGTTAACTTGCCCAGCCTTGCTAATAATTATAATGAATCTACAATAGAAAATCGAAATATTAATACTTCGGAGTTCAGATAATGAGCAGAAGTTTGAAATTGATATTAATTTATGTATATAATATAAAGATCCAAAAATGTGGTCTGTTCATTTGAATGAAATTTTTAAAGAAGTATGCTTCAGCTTAAAATGATCATAATTTTTTCAAAATGTTGAACACAAAAAATGTTACCGTTTTGAAAAAAAAAATGTAAAAATCATAATCTTTCATTAAGTTTATCATCATTTGGAAATCTTTTATCATAAATTACGACTAAATCATGACTCGCAATCATGTCAGTACAATATGGCCATAACTGAATAAAAGGTAATTCAATATGAAAGTTTACTGTAAACAAAATGTATGAAGTATTAAACATTTTGATTTAACAAATATAATAATAATAATATTTTAATATTATTATTATTATGAAGTATGTTATCATCTCAATATGCGACGTTATAGTTCTGGAAGTTTGATTGTTTTAAGTGGCAAAATTGCCATATTTCAGTATAATATGGCCTTATTGTTTTGGCCCTATGTACTTGTTTCAGTAAACGATCCACATTTCGTTTTACAGCCACAGCATACTTAGGAATTTAACATTACGTTCAATGCAATAAATATTTTCAGAAAATATTATTTTTATTAATATAAGAAAATAGATGGCACAGAAAAAAACGAAAAAATTACGAATTCATAGACACATCAAACACAAAAATCATACATTTCGAGTTGAGGCCTTATTGTACTGACGTCTGACGGTGCGATGTGCAGATACCTACCTTAATTTAAGGATATTTCTGAAAATGCTAATTAAAACCATGAACCACATGTGCAGCGAATAGGTAGTATATTATCATAGAATAAAATGTACAATACATATGAACCTTAATTCATAAAATTTCTAGATAATTTATGGTAAATCTGTAATATATTGTTAAATGATTTTTTTTTTTTTTAGAACTTTTATTTCCAAAGTAGATCACTGTAGACATTCGATTTTTTGGAAAGTTTGAATATTTTCTTTTATTCCATGGTTCACTAAGTATATCACGACTATTAATCCAGCAGGAACTACAAGCATAAATAGACAAGCATAGGTTAAACACCAATAGGTACCTAATTTTAATTATTCAGAAAAAAATATTGCCTTTAGTGCTCACGTGGACGGTGATTATAATATACTATTTTTTATTCTTCCGTATTTAAGTTACCTAATTACATTTTGTAAACATTCATTTTACATTAAATAAAATACAAAAATGAATTTATAATTTTATTCTAGACATTTAAGTAGAAACCGCAAGGTCATTTTAATTTAAAAAAATAATAATAAATACTATTAGAGAAATTTATAACTTTCAATATTTTGAATCATATAGATTCAACGGCTCAATCAATCGCGCCACAATATACAATAGTGCGTGTTATATGCAGCTACAGTTTCAGTTTATATGAAAATAAAATAGCGTTGCTATCCAAGCAAAAGAGTTTAATCGATTAGGCGATGCACGTTACGTCGCTACACATTACTTATAATAGTAGGTAGCTTATAGTTAGTCTACGCCTGCAAGACACTCAATAACCTACACGCAACGCAAAAGGTTGATCTTATTATTGCTCACTAGATCGACTGAAAAATAAAAAAAATGGCACCAAAAAAGAATAAGAAAAGTAATAAGTTGGCTCGAATGAGCGACGAAGAAAAGTTGCGATACCTGCAGCACCGGGCAGCCATAGAAGAAGAGACGAAACGACGGAAAGAACAATTAGTCGCCACGTACTTAAAGGTATTCAAGCCAGGTGCTTAGCTACTTTGTTTTGTTAACGTGCATTTTTCTAAATTGTATGTAATAGAGTAAGTTGAAAAAAGAAGAAGCGTTTACCCGGCTAAATACTGCCAAACTCAACCAGCAATGGCGACACAACTTGCGGCAAATCAAGTGCAAGGAGCTCAAAGACGAAATGATGGTAATGTATGGGTGGCGGGTGCTATTTGCAATACAGCACTGCACATTTCATAATTCATATTATTGAAATCACCTATTTACCGTTTCATTTTACGTGTGTATCTATATAGACGATGGAAAACCGATTCCAAATCTTATTAGACTGCAAAAACGACCACATAGACATGTTATTGAGAGACTTAGAAGATGCTGAGGAACAAAATCTAAAACAATACGGAGCACATGCTGAGATCGTATCTCAATTCTTGAGTAAGTTACAGTGCAGTTAGGTAGGTACATTTTAAATTTGTATTATAATATAATATAGTTAGATATTATGTGTTCATACTGATATTTTATATGGAATTTTATTTTCAAATGAACAAGCTGGGTTATAAATTAAACCACGATAAAATACACCGTAGGTACAATATAATTTTATGCAAAATACTCATACAATTTAATATCCGCAAATGTCTAATACTAAAATTATTCACAATAATATCATAAAATATACCTACTTAGTAATATTATAGGCTGATGGTCAGTCTTCGCTCAGGATAGTTTTTCGTATGCAATGATTTATATCATTGAATTCAATAATTTAAGACCATTACATTGACCCATTTGGACCACTTGTAACCAACTGTACAGCAGAGTGACATCCACTAACCCGCTTTTTTAATATTCGTTTTGAGGCTACATTTTGGGGCAGTAAAAATGATTTGATGTTTTACATCAGC